AGAGACAAGTGATATGTCACGTCCACGAATTTTTTTCAGTGGGGGGAGGGGGGAGGGGTGTAGAAGCCACCGATTACCAACAAAACTAGCCACCAATTAATTACCGACAAATATATTATTGCCAATGTCCAAATGTCTACAAATTTAACCCTACAAACCCGGGCCAGTAACTAAGTTATTTTTCAGTTCTTCCCCTTCTTAAATTATTAGAGAAAGAAGACGATCCGTTGTAACGTTCTCGACTCTTAAAGTGGCACGTTCCCGCCAGTGTAGTTATCGCTGCTCTAGTCATCGCCATCTTGGTTCCGAAGATCGACTTCTAATTTGCATACAGCTGTCAATCAAAGTACGCGCGGCCTGGCCTGCCTTCGCCAAGCCAGCTGATCGCTGACGATCGCGACGTCACGAAAGTGGGCGGAAACAGCAGCCGAATCTTAGAGCCGAACTGCGATTGCATTACTTCGGCACGTGTATGCGATAATCGGTATTGTCCGGGCATTCGGAACATGCCATCTGCGTAAGAGCCGTATTCTGTTGGTGTCAATAGGCAGCTAGCACCGTCCGCCAGCGGGTACGTATTTTGAACGCCCTCTGGAATACGGGGAACATGCCTCTTTAATTCTTGTTTCGCTCCTCCCGCGCGAAGCACAGAAGCTATGACATTTCATTTAATCATTAGGGAAAGAAGACGATTCATTGTACCGTTCTCGGCTTTAATCCTTGTCTGAATTCAGTTTCCCCCTCCCGCGTAAAACGCACTTTTTTTTTACTGTAAGAAACGTGCTGAACAGTGATGAAGCATATAGATAATGAAAAATGAATCGCTCTTCCAACAAAATCTCTATTATATTGAAGATCTGTGACGCCGTATGGGATACCCATTCAGACACCGTTCAAATACTATTAGACAGTTGACCTATTATGTAGAGTTGTCGTGGTCAAGTGGATACTTGTTTCACATGTCTATCATAGGCAATGACGAGCTTGCAACCCATTTTGATCAAATTACGGTGGGCGAACTTTCAAAATTCAATGGGACATGAGGGTTCCAATAAAAGAGCTAGTGATAACGTACGTCAGGGTGGATGTGCTTTTCGTTTAAACAAAAAATGAATTTTTAACGATTTTGGGGGGTAAAATTCCATAGGCTAACATGTTAGGCTGCTGACTCTGACGATAGGGGGCGTTGTGAAATGAGACAAAACGGAGCTATATGGTAATTGAAGCATTACTCACTAGTTGAGTTGAAGCGATTTACTCACAACATTAGGTTAAATAACTCACTTATTTAAAATACTCATTTGCCATGTCACTATAATGTCAAATTAACAAAACTCATTCCTGTGCGTTATTAAACTCAATTTGATGAGTTAATGCATTTAGTTAAGTGTGTCACTATAGTGTCAACATTTATTTGCCTATTTGAGTAAGATTACCCAAATATTTTTATTGTGTGCAGGGATACATGAACCGACACTCACAACTAACTACAAAAAACAAGGAAAGGGGAAGGGGATATTATCTGCAGCTTATTAAAACAATATTACAATATAGTTTGTTCTCGATATGAGTATATTATAAACATGCCAAGCAACACGAACACATTATCGAATGGGATAACAGTCGTCTCATCTCATCTCCACGATGAAGCACTGGCATACACGCCGAATCCGAGAAGCCGTCGAAATTCACCGCCACAACACCGTGCCCCCAAGACTCAGGATTATACATCAACGACATCTGGAAACCCCTCATCAACAAGTACCCGGTCACTCCCCCTCCACCACCACCTCCACCACCGCCGTCACCAGCCCCGCAGACACCCGTACATCAACCACCGCCACTCGCCGAACCCTCAAAGCAGCCGCCAGCTTCACAGCTACAATGCACAGCAGACGACAGCAGACTACAACGCCGCCTACGTCGGGGACACACACAGCGTCTCGCCGACAGCACACCCCACTCATGGATTCGAAACTCCCTTAAGACCGTCACTACTACTGGGCCAGAAGGGATTAGACCACACAGAGAGCCATCGAGGTCACTGTGACAGGTGGCTTTCTCATTAACTCAGCTCTCATTTAACATAAGAAAAAGAGGATCATGGGGGAACCAACAGGCACCGATTGGGGAAGTTTTCTATATAGAGGGAGCAAGTAGCTACAAGTATGGCAGTGTGCCTTTAAGTCCACTCCCCGATGACTAAAGCCCACACGGTCATGAATTTTCCCCCGACGTCCGCACCCCGGTGACTTAAGCTCACGCACGCCACAACTAGGCTATAAATTACTATAAATATTTAATTAGAAAACACGACACTGGATAAAGTGTAGAATGCCAAACGATAGAAACAGTTGAGCACTTTTTATTATCATGTCCAAAAATATGAAAGACAACGAAGGAGAATGTATAGAGCACTAAAAACCCAAAATCCAAATCTAGGTCACTTACTAGGAAATGAGGAATATAAAGGAAAGGTGGTAGCTTTTTTAAAAGGCAGTGGAAGGTACAATGAACTGTGATGCTCAGCTATAAACATTAACTACGTATGAATTAAGTATTAATCGAGTATTATTTGCGTTTTGCTATGTTATCTATTAGTGACAGGGGTACTATCCTCGGTATAAATTGCTTCATTGTATAAATTGTACAAATTGCTTCATTGTATAAATTGTACAAATTGCTTCATTATACGGAGAGAGGTTTTAAACTAACGTCCTAACGTAATGAACTGATCGCAACTAATATTCAACCACTTCATCCTTTCTTTCCTGATGAATTCTTTAAAATAACAAGCCGAATAACAATACAGAAAATAACTACCGGTACTAACAATTTACTGACATTGTTAATTGCACAACACAACGCCACTATAGGCTATCGTCGATCCAACAGTAGAAGTATTAAGAGAGGACCAGTTACTTCGCCCTCTCACATTGCCTGGCGGAAATCATCGAATGACGATGGAAACGCCATTAATCGCAACAACAACAACTAGGCGTTGTGGCGTGCGGCGTGCGCCTGTAATCCAGCTAAAAGTGGAAGTTACAAACTGATTCAGCCGAGGACGCAGGATCGAAAGTGAGTCACTCTTTCGGATGGTGACGTTTAAAGGTCGGTCTCCAGACGTAAATAATCAGATCTGATTGATACACGTCTGTAAAAACCCAATACACACACACACACACACTCCACCAGAAAAAAATTATCCTGAAAAGCGTCGCTCATACAAGTTGGGGAAGTAACTCAAAAACACTACTTATACTCTAATAAGATCATATAGACTACGAATGCGAGGCATATGACTCTTCTTTTTTTTTGCTCCCGAAAATTTGAAAATCGCGCCGGCCGAACAGTCGCTCAGTGGGGGTGGGGGGGGGGGGGGGGTAGTGAGCAATTTTTTTTTTTTTTGGGGGGGGGGTCCTCGAAAATTTTAAAATTTGCACCCCCAAAAAGGTAAAAATCACGTGATTTTACATGATTTTTTTTCTCAAGGCCCCCCCCCCCTCATGGATCCGCCACTGCTCTACACTACTTCAGTGACAGGCTACATTATTATTATTTTTATGAAGGTTGGTTTGAAAAATATAAAACATATATACCATGCACTATTTCAAGCCACTAGTGAAATTATGGACTCCTCGGCGACAGAACTGAATAGTGCTATTCCTGCCACCTCGATCCATAATTTTAACTAGAGCCTCTCAGCGCATGGTATATTTATTTACTATCACATAGTCTGTATCTGGTTTTTGAGATATCGCAATAGCAAGGCTAAAACATGTAATTTCAGAAATTGACATCTGTGACCTTTGACCTGTTTACCCAAAATCTAATCAGATCATCTATCGTCACATCTGAAGTTCATACCTCGAATGGTTATTTAAAAGGAGATACTGAACTACTAAAATATGAGATGAGCTACATATACATAATAACAATCATTATAATAATAAGAATAATAAAAACGATAATAATAATACAAATTTAATAAAACATGTAATAACTGGACCTCGAAAGCGCCTTCCAAAGTGGATACAAGGTCCTTAGTCTAAGAACAAATTAAGAATTGCAGAGATTTCAGATGTGTTTTGAAGAGGTCAAGTGCATGAAGAGCTTTTTTTCAGAGATTCAGGGAATTTGTACCATGGGCACAGGGTAATGGATTGAAAGAATTTGAGCCAGCTTTTTCTGGGGATTTGAACATGTACAGCATATTGACATCACTACGATCAGGCACAATTCCGGAAAAATCGAATTAATTGCACCAAAAGCTATTAAAGAATGCATCTTCCATCAAAATATTGTAACGGACACGGTTTGCTACCCCGGCTTACACGGTATTTGTCAGGATGCCCGTGTCTGGCCTGGTGCTCCCCGTCGTTCGTTTGGACAAAATATATGCCCGTAGCTTGATGGCTGGATTTCTTCACTGCTCACGTCACAGGGCGTTTATTAACAATCGTGCATCCTTCGACGGTCACCCCAATCGTTGTGCACAGCAACAGTCAATTGAACATCCTTCGAGCAATCAATCCATCAATCATTCATCTCTTCGTAATCATCAAATGTTTCACTGCTCTAAGGATTTAAACCAGATTTTTGAATTGTAAGTCAAAAGGCTTTAATGCTCACCTGGTCAACAGGTAGAATAACACGAATGCAAACTTCAGGTTAGCCTCGGTGAGGCTGGCCTGTATAACGGATACAGAGCAGTGGAAAGCCTTAAATACACAATCCTGACCATCCTAAAAATTTCCCTATATAAAAGAACATTATTATGTCCTCGTTAGTAAAACAACACTTCAACACAACATTTCTGCTAATCCCATAAAATCTACACATATAATCTTCAGTATAACCCCTTATTCGTGATTAGATAACTACTATACAAATAATATCCCCAAAGAAACATGATAATTGCACCAACATGATTGTTATATGTAATTTATGCTCATTTTCCTTCAGTTTGGTAATTGCTAAATCAACGATGCGCCATATTGCTATAGCGCATGCGCGTACAACAAAAATGCTTAACCTTCGTCCAATACTAAAACCCTGATTTGTTACAATATGCTTCCTACACAAAGGCAAGCATTAGTTCCTCCAAAACCAAAGGAGTTGGTGAGAGCGACCCGACGTCCTGACCCTTCACCCGTCGGTTCCCACGGTTGGGAGGTCAGAGGGACGTAGTTCAGATCAAACTCGGGAGTCGTAGACGTCAAGTTGATTGTAGGTGGGAGTTGTGCCTGTAAGAGGGAGACAAACATAAAGCCATGTTCAGAAATGAAGTGGTAGGCTGCTGTTTGAATGGCAAATGAGCGAATACACTGTGCTCTGTGTTATAGATAGTTAGAGAGGAGAAGACACGGATTTGTGAAGCCTACACTACATTCATGTCATTTAAAAATTATTAAAAAACTACTGCGGTTTGCAGTGGCATTACTGAACGAGGCTTGAATCCATCTATGGTTGAAAGATCAAGTGCTCATAGTTCAGATCAAACTCAGGGGTCATAGAAGTCAAATCGATTATTGGTGAGAGTCAGGGGCGTCGCTAGACCTTTTTCAGTGGGGGGGGGGGGTGTAGAGGCCAACGATTACCGACAAAACTAGCCACCAATTACCGACAAAATTAAATGTCCAATATTTACAAATTCAACCCTATAAACCTGGGGCCGAAGTCAAAATTGTTTTTCCTATGGACTATCTATAGTACTTGCATATGCGCAAAATGGTCATTTTCCTCGGCGACATAAATATACGAATTATTTCTTCAATTTAGTCAGCATCATAGCTATTTATTTTAATGCAGGCGCGGAGCTAGGATCTTATTTTAGGGAGGGGCGGTAGTGGGCAAGAGAATCACTTAAAAGCGCGCTCATTAGGGGGTGTGGGTGATGGGCTTCCCGCGCAAAGCGCGGAAGCTTAGACATTTCCTTAAATTATTAGGAAAATAAGACGATTAATTGTACCGTTTTCGACTGGTAATCCTTGCCTGAGTGAAGTTTCACCCCCCCCCCCTCCCGCGCGAAGCGCGAAAGCTTTGACGCTTCATTAAATTATTATAAAAAAGAAGACGATTTGCTGTACCGTTCTCGACTGTTTATCCTTTTCTGAATTCAGTTTCCCCCCCTCCCGCGCGAAGCGCGGAAGCTTTGACGTTTCATTAAATTATGAGAAAAAAGCGGACGATTCGGTGTACCGTTTTCGACTCTTAATAAGCCCTATTCATTTGAATTCAGTTTCCCCTCTCGCGCGAAGCGCGGATGCTTTGACGTTTCCTTAAATTATTAAAGAAAGAAGACGATTCGTCGTACCGTTCTCGACTCGTCTAAATGAAGTTTCCCCTCCGCGCGAAGCGCGGAATTTTTGGCGTTTCATCAAAATATAGAGAAAGGAAGACGATTCCTCGTACCGTTTTCGAATCTTATTAAGCCCTATTCATCTCAATTCAGTTTTCCCCTTCCGCGCAAAGCGCGGAATTTTTTGCGTTTCATCACAATATAGAGAAGGGAAGACGATTCCTCGTACCGTTTTCGAATCTTATTAAGCCCTATTCATCTGAATTCAGTTTCCCCCTCTCGCGCGAAGCGCGAAAGCTTTGACGTTTCCTCAAATTATTAGAGAAAGAACACGATTCGTTGTACCGTTTTCGACTTTTAATAAGCCCTATTTGTCTGAATTCAGTTCCCCCCCCTCGCGCGAAGCGCGGAAGCTTTGGCGTTTCCTTAAATTATTAGAGAAAGAAGACGATTCGTCGTACCGTTCTCGACTCGTCTAAATGAAGTTTCCCCTCCGCGCGAAGCGCGGAATTTTGGGCGTTTCATCAAAATATAGAGAAAGGAAGACGATTCCTCGTACCGTTTTCGAATCTTATTAAGCCCTATTCATCTCAATTCAGTTTCCCCCTCTCGCGCGAAGCGCGGAAGCTTTGACGTTTTCTTAAATTATTAAAGAAAGAAGACGATTCGTCGTACCGTTCTCGACTCGTCTAAATGAAGTTTCCCCTCCGCGCGAAGCGCGGAATTTTTGGCGTTTCATCAAAATATAGAGAAAGGAAGACGATTCCTCGTACCGTTTTCGAATCTTATTAAGCCCTATGCATCTCAATTCAGTTTTCCCCTTCCGCGCAAAGCGCGGAATTTTTTGCGTTTCATCACAATATAGAGAAGGGAAGACGATTCCTCGTACCGTTTTCGAATCTTATTAAGCCCTATTCATCTGAATTCAGTTTTCCCCTCTCGCGCGAAGCGCGAAAGCTTTGACGTTTCCTCAAATTATTAGAGAAAGAACACGATTCGTTGTACCGTTTTCGACTTTTAATAAGCCCTTTTTGTCTGAATTCAGTTTCCCACTCTCGCGCGAAGCGCGGAAGCTTTGACGTTTCCTTAAATTATTAGAGAAAGAAGACGATTCGTCGTACCGTTCTCGACTCGTCTAAATGAAGTTTTCCCCTTCCGCGCAAAGCGCGGAATTTTTGGCGTTTCATCACGATATAAAGAAAAGAAGACGATTCGTCGTACCGTTGTTGACTCTTAAACCTTGTTTGAATTTAGTTTCCCCGAAAATTTTAAACCCCTGATTTCTTTAGCTGATATTATAGGAAAGTGAAACTTCGAGAAAATACAAGTATTGTAGTTGTAGTCACTCTGGAAGTCGTCACAGCGGATAACAAGTCACAGTTCGTAGGGAAAAAAAACTTGTCGGCCGACCGACAAAATACATCTCACCGATTTCAAACTTCTGCATTGATATAGTACACGAGGATCGAGCAAGAATACCGACACAGCTTACCCGACATAGCAACATATTTACCCGTGTCTTTCTCGCTCCCTCGACGAGACGACTCCAACCAACAACCCCCTTCTCTCTTTTACTCCCACTCCCCCTCTCATTCATTCTTTTTTCTCTTTCTTTCTTCTCTTTTCTTTCCTTTCTTTTCCTTTCTTTCCTTTCTTTTCCTTTCTTTCTTTTCTTTTCCTTTTCTTTTTTTCTTTTCTTTCCCTTTCCCTCTCTTTTTCCCTCTCTTTTTTTCCCTTTCTTTTTTTTCCCTTTCTTTTTTTCCCTCTCTTTTTTTCGCTCTCTTTTTTTCCCTCTCTTTTTTCCCCTCTCTTTTTTCCCCTCCCCCTTTTCTCTTTTTCCCGACGGCAGCGCGATTTTACCGACAATATCCTGACAGGTGGGGGGGGGGGGTGTCGCACCCCTACACCCCCCCTTTGGCGACGCCCCTGGTGAGAGTTGTGCCATGTGAACTTTCTTAGGTGCAGTGTATGTGAATATTTTCCAGTGGAAAAATCGTTATGAAAGAGCTCTGATATAATAAGCTGTTCAGCACAATGTTTACCCTTTTCAACTCCTTGTAACATTTGAAAAATGCTGTCTACATTGATCACAGCTTTGTAGTTTTCACTTATATCCTTTGAAAAATCACATGAAGATTAGAGGATGATACTTCAAAATTACGTATGAAATTTCACAAATTCAATGAACTGGGTCAGTGCCTCAAGTTGAGAATGTTTTCCATTATTTTTAAGATGTTGACCAACAAAATAAAGTTGCACTTTTGTTCTTGGTTGTTGAGACACCCTGTAATAATGAAAGTAAGAGTCTTACTGTATGACATGCCATGATGGTGAACACAGCTTCCAATGCACCCTGTATAATGAAAGTAAGAGTCTTACTGTATGGCATGCCATGATGGTGAACACAGCTTCCAATGCACCCGCTGCTCCTAAGAGGTGACCTGTTGCTCCCTTGGTGGAGGATACAGCTGGAAGATGATCGCCATGGGAACCAAAGAGCTTCTTCACCGCCATGTTCTCAATGACATCTCCTGCACAGATACAGAAATGGAATTCAACAAATCGGTGTTGGGTATCTCAAGATAAGTGAAGTGTGATCTAAAGATCTGAATTAGGGTTAAAGCTGGGATAATTGAGATAATAATCGTAAAGCGCCAGGAGTGTAAGTCGGACAGACATGATAGCTAAACAAGAAGTAACCCATTATAATTGTTATGATTATCATTGAAGATCTTGATCTTGAACTTGGACACTGATACAAATGCAGTGGAAAGATCGTGAAATGGAAAAAGCAAAATTACTGTTCTAACATCTACAGTTCATAACATTCATACAAATGACAAATATATTTATGCGCAAGGATATTTAAGTGTTATGCCAAACATGCTCTATATAGCAACAGTTGCTGTTCCGCGGTTATTATCCTACACTCACCAAAATCCAAAATTTAACCCAGAACCAAAAACTACACCTAACCCTACCTTAAACGGCCCTACCCGAGTCCCAATCCAAACTATAAGCCATTACTGTATAAGCCAATATTTTAACATAAAGATGTTTCGGGGATCAAGGGTTCAAGGACAAACTTCTGAGTTGTTAAAATTGCTTAATAAAGCCATATGACCACTACTGATTATACAGTATACACTCTTCAATATAAATCTATTTCCATGAATCAGGAACTCATTACTAGGTGTCACAATCATACTAATACAATAATTTTTTGGGAGAAATAAATGAAAATATTCTATTGAAGTGCCCCGTTACGATCAGTGTGGTCTTAATCTGCACCGCATGACCCAGAGATGCTATAGTGGACAGACACTGCGTGCGACACGCGATGTGGCTAACTTTAGTCATTTTGACATTCAACATTTCTTCTGGAAATATTTTCGCGTGTTGTTAGAGGTGTTGTGGTCGATCACTAATGTCCTTTGGCAAGTCATTGATCTACATTTGCCACTCTCCACCAAGGTGTTAAATGGGTACCCGGTAGGATGCGAAAGCCAATGTGGTATGCTTAGCAATTTGAGCCTAGTAGTTCTTGTTGGAATGCTCCCCAGGGAGTGGAGAAAGTGCATACATTGTGTGCGGGCAAGCCAGAATCCGATGACCGCGGTAATAATGTAAAGTGCTTAGAAATTGGACATTCCCGACGTATTAAGTGCTATATAAGCAAAAATATAATTTTTATTATTAATATAATATTAGCGATTAATGAGTGATTCACAAAAATTAGCACCAAAAAACCCTCGTGAAAATAATTGCTTGTGCAGTAGTTAGGGGAGGATGTGGGACAGCGCTTCCCCCTCTTCTCTTTTCCCTCCACCCCCTCCCCCTTTTTCTTTCTTTCTTTTTGTTTCTTCCCCAAGTTGACAATTGATTACAGAGTTGGTGCCCCCTACCCCCCGTGTCAACTCTGACCCTCCCCCGCAGGTACATCAATGATTTTGATGAACGTAACCAACCTTTGGGTGTAGAGGTCGCGTGTGCGTTGATGTATGTAACGTCCTCAGGGCCCAGCTTGGCATCTCGGAGGGCATTCCTCATGCACAGCTCAGATCCAATGCCATAATCACTTGGGGAGGTCATGTGATTTGCATCACCTGACAAATCAAAGGTCACATAAACTTTCAAATAAGTCACATGACATATGGGCAAAAATAGTACTGTGATATCAAAATATATTCAAATTCAGCTGAAACAAATACGTTGAATATATGTTAAATCGTATGCTGGAAAACAAGAGTTATAATGCCCTTTATATGGCTTCAAACAGACAATAATAGTTCAGTTCAGTTCAGTTCATTTTATTCAAAACCATACAAAGCATGATATAATCTGTTACATAAAAAAGAGACTGGTAATAGTACATCAATCAACATATTCTAACTTGATTACATCATAAACTGAACGGTTTTAGGACCCCTTTAGAAGCTAAGCTTGTGAGCGGGGCCCTATAACAAAATACATACATTTACAGTAAAAAGAATGTTACGTATGATCATACAATGGATGAAAATACTAAGCTACAGAATATAGAACATACAAATACTCTCACACACACACACACGCACAGACACCACACACGCACATCACCATACACAGCAAACACACCGACGAGTAGGTCCTTAGTGGTCAAAAAGCATTTCAGAATGAGAAATTACTAAGATGCGAATAAAAACTATGTCAGTCTTTCAAGCAGGTACGTTTTAGATAAACTTCTAAACCTAGAAAGAGTTGTACTATTTTTTATATCATCAGGCAGACTGTTCCATTCTTTAATGCAAGAGATATGGAAAGAGGTCAGAGTGACATTTGTTCTTGCAAAAGGCTGTCGAATAAGACACCTTTGACGTGTATTATAATTATGAATTTGGGAGTTCTGACGGAATAAATCTTTTAACGTACATTCATGAGGCATAGACTTAAGATTAAACATAAACAATATGCAATTGAACGACACAAGTCCACTTAGTGGTAACGTTCTTAGTCGAAGGAACAATGGAGAACTTGGATGTCTATAATAAGAATTAGTAATAAGCCGTATTGCTTTCTTCTGCCATACTCTCAACTTATCAAGATATGACTTAAAGGTGTTTCCCCAAGCAACATTACAATATGTCAAATAAGGAAGAATAATACTATTATATAATGTTATCAGCACTCTTTCAGGTAAAATAAATTTTAATCTAAAAATGACACCTACACTACGGGACAACTTTGTGCATACAGCATCTAAATGATTTCTCCAAGATAAATGCTCATCCATGGTTAGCCCTAAGAACTGAACATTTTCACTAAGCGCAACATCATGGCCTCCAACATTAAGAAAAGTAATGCCATCTGGTAGCTTTTTACCCTTGGAGCGAAAAATAACACATTTGGTCTTTTGAACATTCAACAATAACTTATTACAACAATACCATGCATACAGTTTCTGAATCTCTTGATTCGCAATTAGTAATAAATCTTCAGCCTTCTTATTAGCCAACAGCAAGCTGGTATCATCAGCAAAAAGTGAGTATGAGAATAATGTTGATGAGTGTATTATATCATTTATATAGATCAGAAACAACAGGGGACCAAGAACAGAACCCTGAGGTACACCATATTTAATAGAAGCAAGTTGAGAATTAGTACCATTCACCACAACAAATTGTGTCCTGTCAAACAAATAGCTTTGGAACCAAGACAATGCTACACCACGTATTCCATAATGCTCAAGTTTCCTAAGGAGGATGCCATGGTCAATAGTATCAAACGCCTTAGATAGATCTAAGAATATCCCCAAACAATACTTGTCTCCATCAATAGCTTTTATGATATTACTTAATAAATTAAACACACCCATTTGTGTGGAGAAGTGCTTACGGAAACCACACTGCTGAGGAATCAAGATATTCTTTTTAGATAGAAACTCATTTAAGCGTTTATAAATTATTTTCTCAAGAATTTTAGAAAAGATTGGTAACAATGCTATTGGCCTGTAATTAATGACGTTTTTACGGTCAGATTTTTTATACACTGGTACTACTTTAGCTACCTTGAGTTTATCAGGAACAACTCCCTGAGATAAAGACATATTCATGATTTTACACAAGGGATCAATAAAAAGGTGAATGCACTCCTTTATAATTCTAGGTGAAATATCATCAGAATATTTAAAGGAACAAAAAAAAAAGAATTAGGAAAAGAGCCTACCGGTACATATACTAGCTTATGTTGTGTGTTTATTATAAGTTTTGGTAAATAATTGTTAAGTCAGAATATGGTGCGCTTAGAGACACCAGTATTAAGCGCCTCATAAATATTGTTTATTATTATTATTATTATATCATTCACGTCATGTTCTTTCTGCAATTGTTTTTTTTTCAATTTTCAACCGCTCTCCTAAACAGCACTCTCTAGATACTGAAGGCATTATTACAATGGAACCTTGCTATAACAAAAATAAATGTACCCCATGAAAGTATCTTGTTAAATCAAATCTTCTTACATCAGCTGGTAACCTACTTTCTGCAAATGAGTTTTCATTTATATCGGGCTAAATAACAGTATAATACAAAGAAATTGGACCAGCACAATTTGAATTGACAGTGTTCTTTATGTTGATAGTGTTTATTTATTATGTCCAGAAATCGTATTTAACATTTATAAGTCGAGGTGTGTACTTAATAGATGTGTTTAAATACAACTGCGACAAAGTAAAAACCTGTCTACTGAGGCCACCAAGGGAGATGGAGAAAGTGCAGACAGGTTGCCTTCTGAGACATGTTCTACGACACACATATATTTCTTGAAGGAGACAAAAGTACATGGTCACTGTAGACAGGTGGCTTTTAAAGAGAATTGGCCACTAAGATAGGTTAGACTGTACATCTAAAATTATGTTTCAATAGTCAGGGGGATATTTAAGCATGTCAAGTTTGGGAATACGAGATCAAAATTAATGGTTGAAGAAGATTAGTTTCAGATCAGGAATTTTCATTTTGGAATATTGTTGAAAACAAGCAATTACATGTATGAATAATTAAGAAAAGAATGAGTAACTTGGTATTCATACTTTCACCCTCATAAGCTTAATTTATATTACAAATATTACCTGATAAACCATAACCAAGGATTTCAGCAAGGATTGTGGCACCTCTTGATTTAGCGTGCTCCAATTCCTGTTCACATTTAAAAATACAGATAATTATATTACACAATTAAAATTATTATTCATGTTTAGTGGCAAATCTACCATCATACAGTTTTAAAATGGCATTTTCTCTCAGCTTGATTTCATTAAAATATAGAGCATGAGGAAAAGGGTTGCAATTCGGTTTTAGGTTAGGGTAAGGGACCTTGTGGAACACCACACAGCATACTTCTCTGTTAAGAATCGTGACCATTTGTACTATCACTTTAGGGTTGAATTTGAGAATATGACATTGCTCTCAGCTTGATCTCATGAAAGATATAGGAATAGATATATGGATGCGTTTGAGTTTTATATAGGTTAGGGACCTAGCAAGTAACCTTGAGGAACACCACAATACATACATCACTGCTAAGAATCTCAGAGAAGTTGAGCAAGTCAAGGGTTCAGTGACACAAAGATGTGACTCCATATTTTGCCAAAACGAGTATTTGATAACAGAATGTTCAGAAATATGTGGGCTATCAAGGAAACACAATGACTTAACTCCACCCAACACCCCATTGAAGTCAACGGCTAGTAAAATATAGACTTAACTCCATAAGGTCCAAGTGGACCTCTATCTTTAAACCACTTTTTCTAAAAATGACCAAAATGGAGTTACGTCTTTGTGTCACTGACCCCTCGAAGTGTTGTGTAAGTTGTAAAAACATACCTCCAGAACCACTACAGCAGCTCCTTCTGACATCACAAAGCCATCCCTCTCCTTGTCAAACGGTCTTGATGCCTGTGCAGGTGTGTCGTTGAACTTTGTGCTCAATGCCCTTGCTCTGCCGTGTTAAGAAAATAAGAAAAAACACTAACAAATACATTTCACAATCTAGTAAATGATCAAAATATCCTGAGATACAGAGTATTTTACCCTGGCCTCATAGGCATGAAAGGTGTCCGTTTCAAGGAACTTCTTTTCCAGGGTACCCATATACCTCACCTGGATCAAGAGTGGCAAATGAAGATTACTGTCTTGCTAAATGAAGCTAGTGGCAGGCAGGGACTTTTGAATGCTGTACCATTTGATCAACAGTGCTGTAAGAAACTGACTGAACTCATACCAAATACTTTTTTTACCTGTCAAATCCAGCCAAGCCTAATGGACATATGCACGCCTCTGTCCCTCCTGCTATCATGACGTTGGCATCCCCGTGACGAATGAACCGTGATGCATCACCCAGCGCATGAACCCCCGTAGTACAGGCTGTCGATACGCTATGGTTTGGACCCTGGGGGAGAGAGTTTATTGACAAAAACAGTGGTGCGCTTTAGCCTCAAAGACTGAGCATAAACATATTCAGGTTTAAAATATTACATATTAATGTTGATTGTTCTATTCAGTATTTCAAATTGGTGTTAAAGATAAAGCCCAGTTATGGTCATGCGATTGCATTGTGAAAGAAACGTTGTGGAATCGATCAGAAAAGGTTGATCATCTAGCATAAAAGTATTGGTGTGTTCTGCAAGGTTCTGGAATCATCAAAATCTTAAGAAATTTGGCCCAATCTTCGTAAAGTTACAAGCACTGTACACAGAAATATGTATATGGGACTACGCACACGTGCGCGACACGTGCGTTATATCTCTCACACACCAATAGAAAAACTAATTTACCAAATATATCAATTAGTAGGCGGTTTCCCGGCAAACAAATTATCATCATGTATTAGTCAAAACATATTCTTTCACATGATTGGTAATAAGAGCTTCCATTTCATTTTTTTAAAATTGGGGCTTTTCCAATACTGGTCTTTACCTTTAAGTGAATCTACCCTAGGATACTACCTTGTAATATCTCTTTACAAAAGTAACATTCTATTTTGTATAAACTATTTGCCTACAACCCCCAAAATAAAGAGCAAAATACTTTTAGTGACAGGTCCCATTGACCTGACAGACTCTTTGGCCCGAATTCACAGGTTTGAGCTCAAACCTTGCTTTGTGAATTCGGGCCTTTATTTTTTGAAAATAAGATACTAAAGGTAAAAGACTTATATTTTTTCCAACTAGGTCAATTTATGTATAACAAGTCAAAGCAAAGCATTGCATCCCCTCGCAGGGTACTGGCCTATATACGTCAGAACAAGTTACATCCAATGGACTACACACTAAGAAATAGGGGTACATTTGGGGTGCAGATCGCTGCTACAATAGCATCCACCTATAGGGTGCAAGTCTGCAATACGTGGCTGCTATTGTAGAAGCGGTCTGCACCCCTAAGGGTGCTATTTATCACCTCTAAGGGTGCAAGTCTGCAAAATTGCACCCTATAGGTGGCTGCTATTGTAGCAGCGGTCTGCACCCTATAGGGTGCAAATTTGTACCATTATTTTTTAGTGTGTATACTATTATATTACTAGGCAAGGAAGTATAACTACATTTTCACATATATAATTAGGTGTTGTTGCACATTTAATGAGCTATGACCTTTCACCTTTGACCTACACCTTTGAATCAGAAATCGAACTTAAAAAAAACGGAAATGCAATAAATTTATTAATAATTTATTGCATTTTACCCCGGTCCCCAACATCAAAAAATCCTCTGGACGGCCATGCATTAATGGCTCAAGGCATGGGCACACAGACGATTTTTTGATGTTGGGAACCGGGGTAAAATGCAATAAATTATTGAAAATTTATTGCATTTTCTGTTGTTTTTTTATTTATGGAAACTGCCCCCTACCAAAGCCCCCGCTGCGTACAGTCATGGTTCGGTGACAAAACAATGGCCTCGTAACTGTGAGGCCCTAGGATCAAAACCGTGTCGATGTGCTATATTAATGCCCTTTTGTGGGGCATTAATCCTCATTACTGTCATTTATGACTTAAGGGCATAGGTCCCCTAGTTAATAAACATAGTAGCATACACATGCTTTAGCAGTCACGCAAAACACACGTTGGCAAATTATTATTCAATAAAATCTGAGAATGTATACTATTATCTCGATCTATTATTTTTAAATTATTTTTAAAATAATTCCATAAATTGGGATAAAAAAAAAAGTGCCACCTTTATGAGCGACAGTGTATATTGTTTTCAGATAAAACAGACTTGTGATTACAATACAGAACTGAAAGAAAACTATCATTGTTGCCATTTTGAAGAAGAAGTGGTCAAGTTAGCTCTTAATAATTCCAGTCTTCAAAAGGTCAAAGATAAAGTTGAGTTCTGGTCATGCAATTGCAATGTGAAAGAAATTATGTGAAAGTGATTGGAAAGGTTGAACATGTACCACATAGATATTGGAATCATCAAAATGTTAAGAAATTGGCTCTGTCTTGCTATGAGTCACAAGTACTGTACAGAGAAATGTGTATAAGGGACTACACAAACATGTGGCATGGAAGTTGTGGTCCACAACCTTTAGCTGTGACTTGTCATATTTCGATTACCAGGGCATTTGAAGAGCCGTCCTTATCAGCGAACATTTTATTGCTATGACACTCTTCCACACTAACATAAAAAGAATGAAAACCTCACAAATTATGTTCCCCCTTTTTCGAACTCAACCTTCTCCTCAACTCTTAGATCTAAATTAAGGTAAGTATGAACTCACTCTGAGGTTGTACTTGATGCTGATGTGACCGGCTGCAAGGTTAGCAAGAATCTTCGGGACAAAGTATGGAGTAAGCTTCTTGTAGCCCTGTGCGGGATGGAAATGATGGAAGAACAGCAATTATGTACCACAGCTTCTGTCCATGTATTGCGATCCTGCTTTTTCTTCCCTTGCCCGAAAACTCTGAAAAAATCTTTCCATCTACAGCCCTGAAGCTTCCACCACAGACACATTCAAAAAAATTCTTTAAAATCTACCTTTTTAGTCAGTCAGTAAAATTCTGTATAATTGTTTATGATCTCTCTCTCTCTCTCTCTTTTCATTAGTGCTATATAAATGCACTTAGGAACATGGCATTAAACCCTATATGAATGTTGCTTATCATTATCATTATTATACAGTACAAAGACAAATGCGACCCGGACTATCATCCTAGACTGCTTTTAGAAGAAAACAAGTCAACATATCAATTTACTTAAGAGATTTTGTATATTTAAAGAGCTGAATTAATGTTTCATTTCATTACATTTATTTATTTCACTCTATTTTAAAAAAACATTAAAAGTATATATATATCTTCGTTCATTATCAACATAAGATAAAAAGGAAGTGGGGAATCGTGAAAGCCAAAATTGGCTTGATGAGAATGATCCCCAAATAAACACTAAGCATAAACAAGATACAAACATATTTTATATAAAAAAACATAGTACATACATTCACAACAACAGAGGACAGAGGAAAGATAAAGATATCAAGGTTAAGATAGTTACAGGAAGACAAGAAGAGAGACAAGATAAGAAGAAAGAAGTTACAGCTTGAGTGTTACATTTTACATAATAAATGACAATTTCAATTTGTTCCGCTTAAATAATCCTTTTACATGTATTTGAAGCGTTTTAATGTATTGCACTGTTTTAAGACATCTGGCAAACTATTCAAAATTAATGGGCCATGAAAAAATATGGAATCTTTAGAGGTTGAAGTACGGTGTAAAGGTAAATGAAAATCAAGAACATGTCTGGTACTATATTCGTGGATTTGACAATTCATTGTGAAACATTCCTTAAATGAATCTGGTAAAGGTATTAGTAGAAGACCAGCCTGTAGGTCCCGTGACCAATCTTTGGGAACAAAAGTTTGAAAGTGTTTTTGTGTTCCCTGATGAATACCAAACAATTTTGACTTGGGCTGCCCCCTTGAAAATCCCGGGCATTTTCGTGAGGGGTTAACAAAGGTCAAACAGGGGTCGAAATTCATTTTTTTTTTTTTTTTTTTTTTTTTTTTGGCTCTGAAAAGAGCCGTTTGTTATTCTAGCCAGGAGAGAGAGAGGTTTGCTACACTTAGCCTCCGAAGCCGTACAATGTACGACCCTGCCTCTTCAGTGCATACACCACGTCCATGGCTGTGACAGTCTTTCGCTTGGCGTGCTCGCAGTAGGCGACTGCATCACGGGTGACATTCTCCTGGAAGACCTTCAGTACACCGCGTGTCTCTTCGTAGATGAGACCAGAGATCCTCTTGACACCTCCCCTTCTAGCAAGTCGACGGATTGCAGGCTTGGTGATGCCTTGGATGTTGTCTCGTAGAACCTTGCGATGACGTTTGGCACCACCCTTTCCGAGTCCCTTTCCTCCTTTTCCTCGACCTGACATGATGATGATGATTGATAGTTGAGAGCGAGTTCTGTGTGATCCTGTAGACTGGATATTACGCTAAGCGAAATATACCCAAATATATTCCAATATATTCCAATCGTGTCGATATGCATATCAAATTACTCGTCTGGTCATGACGATTCGAAAAATGTATAGTTTGCTATACCTCCGACCTTAAATGAGGGCGCTTCGGTAAAAAAAAAAAAACCGTTGAAAGGTCAACGCACTTTTGACTGGTGGCCAATTTCACCAATTCCAGAGGGCGTTCAAAATACGTACGCGCTGGCTGACGGTGCTATAGCTGCCTATTGACATCAACAGAATAAGGCTCTTACGCAGAAGGTATGTTCCGATAACTAAACTGGCGGGAACATGCCCCTTTAATATTGAAGAAAACAAATGCAAGTTACAATCGTTTATATAACGTTTGTGAAAATTATATGGTTGTTCAAGATTTTCCTGAATATAGAGGGAAGTAAAAATGGTAAATATTGGTAAATGATCACTGTTGTCACTAATTAAAATTCCAGAACTCATATGGTTTCCATAATTTGTAAAATATGTTATCAATAAATGATGCAGATGATGATGTATTACGTGAAGGACTTTCTATTGTCGAAAAGAATGAAAAGCTATATCAAAGATCAACTAATTGGTCAACTTGTATGTTTGAACCTAGTTTCAATAAATCCAAACTAAAATCACCCATGATGAAACATTTATGAGAACTTGCATTGATTTTGTTCAAAATAGTGTTGAATTCGCTTAGAAAGAGGTCTATCGATTGCCAGGTGGACGGTATATAACATCAATAATTGTATTCTTGTTCTGTTTATTATCCAATTCAATAAAAAGGCTTTTGATTGATTCAGTAGCAATTGTTAATTCTATTTTCTCTTTATACTGAAACGATCTATCAATGTAGTAACATATTAGTACCACCACCACGTTTGTTTTGTCGATTATTGTTTATAAAATCATAATCTGCTAAGTCATACATATTTATTGATGATGTATCACACAACCAGGTTTCAGTTAGACCAATTATTTTAAATTAATGTTTAAGGTTGTTCAAAACAAATTCAAAATGTTCAAAGTTTTTAGAAAGACTTCTACAATTAAAATGAGCTAAGGATTGATACTTGTAGGTTGGTTCTCCATATTTTGCAGTGAAGGCATTTGTATCTAAATAATAATTTACAAATTCATTTTCTTTTAAAACATTATCAAGGGTACGACGATGCCCGTAAGATTCCAATGGAACTTCTACCATGTAAATTCACTAATTGAAAAATATAAGAGACGTAGTATACAGCATGGTTTAGGATGAAGAATAGAAGAATGAAGAAAAGGGTGTAGAGGAATAACACATTGAAATTAAATATTACCATACCGGGAAACAAACAGCAAAATATGTAAAAAAAAAAGAAAAAAAGTACAATATATATACATAACAAATCGGGTATGAAACGGTATTAATTAGGAGTAGGTGAATTACAGTCAAATCATTGTTATTATAGTCATTTTCGAAAGGCAAGAGTGTAGCATGACGTCATTTGTCAGTGAGTTATAATATGTTGAAGGTCATTATCACAGGTGATGAGTTTTGTGATACTTTTTACTGCGTGTAGCTGCAAGCAATTTCTAATTCTTTGTCGTCAAATCTTCCACAATTGATATTCCTGTATTTTTGAGCTTCCTTCTTTTTTCTAATATTTCCTTCCTTTTTTGTAGCTTGTGGACTTCACAATTATTTATCTTGGTCGTGGCTTCTTTGTTTCCTGTCGAGGCTCAGATGTTGCAGTATTAGCTGGGATTGCTGCTGCTGCTGACAGTCTCAGCCTGAAACTACTTTTCCAACGCGATGAGAACGATCAATATCACGCTCCACATCAAGGGGGATACCAAGCGTTTCTGTGACAACCTTAGCTACCTCTGCATCTGTGTTCTCCCCTTTCACTTCATTTACACCAAAAATTCGGATACATGCTCATCTTGAATATTGTTTCATGGTATTTAATGCATTTTCCAATTTGGCGGTGGTGTTGTCACAGAGTGAAACCTTTCCTACAAATTTTTCCAATTCTTTGTTTTTCATTTCTAGTTTGCTTTGTAGGTCAAAGACGTCACCCTCAACTCGATCTAATCTTGTCAATATCTCATTCATCTTCTTGTCTATAGCATTACTTACAACAGATGCAAGAAGGTCATTGAACTCTTTATTCTTCAATAGGTCTTTTATAACCAGACAAGTTACAGCTGCAGTTTGTCTGGTGTTCACAGACGGGCTAACATTAGACATCTTGAACGTTGAATAGAATTAGAATGACCATGCACTTTGATGGAATGTCTTGGGAGTCAATGCTGATACCGGTGACCAGAACGGTGAAGAAGAAACAAAATGTCATATGTGGGGCTGAATGTAAGAACGGTCAATTATTACACACATTTGCCTTTCTGCGTAGATCCAAACTACTCCACAATATAAGTTTACAAGTACTCCATAATATACATCCTGATGATGGCTGGCTAGAATATGATGGTAAAACAAGGGCCAAGAACCGCTAAAAAATCACTATTCCAGCATAAAATCCTGACTCGCAATCCTTATCTGAATGAACTTTGTCTATATAAAATGTGTATACAATACAAATAAATCGACGTCATTTTATTCTTTGATTGCCGTTTTTTGTAATTGAGTGTTATAATTGCCAACTTTCAGCAACCGCAAGTGCTTGATTCTGAAAATGAGTATGTTATAGTAAAGTATCTCCACGCCAGAGTCACGGGTCAAAGTCTGGATACGATCCTGAACAAAGATACAAGCAAGCTAGCCAGCGGTCACTCAATTTGCTTCCACTGGCCAACGAAAATGCCCGCACAACGACCGCCAGAGCCAGCCGTGTAGGGATACTATTATCATTAGTACTGCCATTTTCATCATTCACGGTATTAACATCATTATCAATATCGTAAGCGACAAACCTTTTCTCTGAGAGTCTGACCGGCGTCCACAATATCTTGCAATTCTGCCATAATCATCCCAACGGCCACACCCTGTCCGACGCAAGATACAAACAAATAAATGAAATATATGCCACTTGTTATATTTATCTCATTAATTCAACTCTTCAAATGCTGCATGATACAAATAATTTCCCTGTACCACATTGTATTTATCATGAAGTAGATACCGGTAAACCAAACGCTTCAACCTTTTCAGAGCAGGATCAATATATAATGGTCTTAGAAGGATTGTCAACTTATCCTGCAGCTAATCATGATCAAGACCGAATATGTAGGTCCATCGTTGCACAAAATAACTCTTCTGTCAATTGGTGCCTACTGTTTTGGGTAAAATTGCATGTGTGGCAAATTCTCGTGTACAGGGAGTCGAAGATATCAACCTAAGAGTTATTTCCCAGGCAAAGAACAAAACAAAAAACATATAGAGACAAAATAAGTAGGAAATTCCACTAACTAGTGCCCAGGGATAGCCAAAAACCCAATATGAACCACCTAAATGTTATATCAACACAATGTGGGCGATGTTGCTGCCTCTCTCATTTTGATGTTGATGATGCTGGTTTTTAAGAATTGAAAAAAGTATGGTGTGGTTCAAATTTCTATATCTCATCACACATAGGAGCTATTGGTGCAGGAAGTTGTTTTAATTTCTCTGCATCAGGGATTTTTATCTTGGGCAGTTTGCTACAACGAAACTGAAGAGGGTGGTACCGTGTTGTTTCTGTCATCGTCACTCTCTGGTTTCCACTCTGCTTGTAAGAGGGCTTCCTGTGCAGCAGCAAGAGAAAAGATGGTTGCCAGACTCATGCTCCGAAAGTCCTTTTAAGAAAATATCAAAATATATGACTGAATACATAACACAGGCCACTGTTCAAAAACTTTATTTCCATTTTTCTTTCTATTCTATTTCTCCTCCATTATTTTCCCCTTTCAAATCTTGCATTTCATCAGTCAATTTTATTGTCTATTATTTTGAAATGGTTTCCACTTCATCCCTCATGCCAGATAGGCAAATATTAAGATAATGATGGAAGGTCATACAGTTGATACATATATAGATGAATTACAATAAACATTACTTTTAATCCCTGACAACTGACATTAGGTCAAGACTAACCCTTTACCTATGCTGTCTTTTATTTTAAAGAAGGACAATCTTATAAGTTCATAATTTACTTGCTTTATTTAAAAAAATCTTATAATTATTATATCTGTCCAATTCAAGTCACCAACCGTATTTCATCTACTAAATATGACTGAAATGAATGAGAGAAGTAGTTGTTTTTATACGCTCAAGGGAAGGTTACAATTGTGCTATTGCCCGAGGCGTGCCGAGGACAATACCCCAATTTTAACCTTCCCGAGAGCGTATAAAAACAACTATTTTTCGAATATTAAAGCAGTCATTAATACTTTTATATGCCAAAAAAAAGTCAACTTACTTTGAGAGTATAGACTAGATCTAGATTCTAGTCTAAGCAAGATATTTTTACAATTTTGGGGGGTGGGCCGGCCCTGTGGGGAATATGGAAAAAAACCTGCGCTTTCATATGACACCTCACTTATTGAGTATCACCTTCAGGATCACGACAGATAAAGGTTTGAATCTCGAATTGAAAAAAAAAACTTGACTTTTTTTGCATGGTCGCGCAATGCACGTAGACTGAATAGAGACTGCATTGCGTGCAATCTCTATGGGAAGAATTTTAGCACACAACATCGGGTGCGCGATCAGACACCCTAGACTACTAGATCTATTTTCGTCTACGTCTATGCTGGTATTCGTCAAACGTATTTTCAGCAACTAAACGAACATGTTTATGGATAATTTCACGTACCCTTTTTGTTGTTCTTGCTGTCAGCGAGTCTTGCATTTGATAAGTTGAAATCTTGGGAGAGTTTCCATTTTTGTCTTGTTTGGAATTGTCTTGTCTTGTATGAAAATACCGACCAATTCTTCCCACACGTACGGTATCCTCGATCGCTCAAACCATTTTTTAACATGTGAACCTATGGGTATTTCACCAAGACTGAACTATTTTCCCGGTAACCATGGTTACTGGGATTTTAGAACTATTATTTTAGAACTATTACATGGGTTTGGAATTTTACCGGGAATTTTACAGGAATAGTTAAACTTTATGAATGCAATTTCGACCATTCAGATGGCTGGATTTCTAAAGTGAGGTATATAATACATGATGGTATACTCACTGATGATGAGACATATCGAAGTGCATCAAATTCACCCTGTTTGTTGCCCCTTGGAACAAAACCAGCTAGAACAGAAAAGAAAACATTCATAAAAATACCCATTATTTTAGACGGCCCATAATATGGGAACTGGGGGAAATATTCATAGATACCAATGGCTACTTTTGACCTCCCATTCTGACCCTTTAACAGCTAGTTCCTGGCTGTTCAAAGACCAACTCTTAAAGAACTCTATGACAACTTACCATTGGGATGCTTTTGAACTCATGTCCGTGTCTGCTTGGTGACCCCCCCCCCCCTGAATCTCTAATGAGTTTGTAAAGACTGATTAAAGAATTGAGGACACTATTAAATATCCAACTCTGACCATCTAACAATGGCGACATTGAATGAAACCATGGAGGATATCCTACAAACTTACCACAGTGACAAGAAATGCCTTTGAACTCTATCTCCTTATTCCTACACTGTGAGCTTTGAGCTCACAATGTGACCCTCTAAAAGTCTTTAAAAGGCTGTTAGTATACCTTTAAATGTTTGAATTCCAATTCTTAAACCACAGTGACTTAGCAACTTGGTATGGGATGCCTTTAAGGTCATCACCTTTTGACCCTCTTACAGCATCAAGACTGTTGGATTAACAAGTCTTAAATGAAGTTCCATTATATGTCACTTTATTTCCTGAACAACCTTCAAATGTCTGACTACCAATTCTTAAAGAACTCTATGACAACTTACCAACTTGGCATGGGATGCCTTTGAACTCATCTCCTATTATTTTGGTGATCCCACTCTGTCCTTCTAAAAGCCTTGGCCACACCACATCAATGCCTACTCCTAGAGGACACACCACACCTGAAGAAAATATGGCCAAGAAAAGAAAAATAGAGCAAAATAAAGCACATAATAATAAAGCCCTCTCCTTTATTAAAGAGAAGTCTTCTTTTTGTTCATATACTTAGAGTAATAGAGCCTACAGAATTAGACTTCTAACCCCAGAGGAGGGGGTAAACAAACATCGTTCATGTCGTTGAGTCTAGCAGACAGAGGACCTCTTTTTGAACAGCCGGCATTTCAATATGTATTTGTTTGTTTGTTTGTTTGTTTGTTTTTATTTCTGCATTTTCAAAATAGAGCATAATCATATACATAAAGTAACAATTATTTCTTCATTTTACATAATTATAATTTGTTAAGAACATTAACTAAGATGCATACAAACACAAATATAATTTCAATGAAAAAAGATAAATTACAGAAAACACAGGAGACCGCCATCATGAGCGGGAAGCTTGAAATCGATGGCGGCCTCGAGAGAATAGCGGCAAATTCTTAAATTATACAGTACGTCCCAGAAAAAACGAAACCGAGAACTATCGATGTTTTATCATAACTTAATCACAATTATAATTAATAAATGACACATATTTGGAAAGCCTAGATAAGGGGCCTAGATCCTCCTCTTTCATTTGATGCAACTCATATGATGCATATTTCACGCATGAGTGATTAAAAGCAATTTGAAGAGAGGAAACCAAAAAGTCATTTGGCGGGCGGTATCTGAATTTCAAGGAGAAAATCAAATTTCTATAAAGTTCAATTTCTGCCCTTTCATATGACACCTCAATCAGGAAAAATGAGCCAGGAATAAACAAGTTCTGTTTGTTTAAAGTAATGCTTGCATTTCCATAATTTGATCAAACGAGTTCTTTTTCACTGACTGCCTGCCTTAGCATCAAACAGAGTTGACAAAAGATTTAACTCCGTTTCGTTGAAGATCAGCCATGCATCAGGTCTTTCGTCTTCTTTGTGCATGGCTGATCATATACAATAAGAATAACGTAGTATGGGGCAAAAGGCATTTTAACTTACTAATAATTCCAACACTTTTGGATATACACATAAATACATAATGTAAGTGATCACTCCATGTTAAATTGTCGTCAATTAATACTACCAAAAACTTTGATGTCTATTTTTGTTTAATTGCCATATTATCAATTTTAATATTAATACGGAAATTAGTTAAATGATAATTATAGTGTTTAAAGTGCATACAATGTGTTTTTCTTATGTTTAATGAGAGCTTATTACACTAAACCAGTTCGAAACTTTGCGTAATTCACACTTTAAAACATTCACTCTCTCTCTCACTCTCTAAGTGCCATATCGTTTGACTTTGGCCTAAAATGGAGCCTTGGGGAACGCCACAATTAATGGAAAGTAAATCCGAATCAAGACAGTTACAATTAACATATTGTTTTCTATTTGTTAAATAATCCTTAAGATATGAGAGGACCTGGCCCCGAATACCATAAAAAGAGAGTTTTTGGAGTAAAATATTATGATCGAGCGTATCAAACGCTTAATTACTGAGATCTAAAAAAGTACCAATCACGTGTTCTTTATTTGCTATGACATTAGTAATCTTAAGTAAGCCAAGTCAGCGGAGAGATTTTTCCTAAAACCATATTGATTTAGATTTAATATTTGGTGAGTATTAAAAAAATTGATTAACCTATTATATACAATTTTCTCTTAAACTTTAGATATACTAGGAAGAATAGATATTGGACGATAATTACTTATTTCATGCGAATCATCTTTTTTAAAGATCGGAATTGCCTTCGCTATCGTAAGTAAATCTGGAAAAACACCTTGCCATGAAGACTGATTAATAATATGGGTTAGTGGATTAGCGATAACATGTATTATTTGTTTTAAAAGTGATGTACTAATTCTATCACAACCTTGAGCTTTGGACGTTAATTTTGTTAATTTATTACGGTATTTTTTATAAGTTGTTAAATTTACATCAGTTTTGTTAAGTACATATGTTTTATACATGCGATTTTGAGTTTGTATTGTTTTCAGTATACATTTCGTTATCCAAGGATTATTTGGTTTATTATTTTTTACGTTTAACTTTCGCTAAAGGAATATTACTATCATAATAGTTTTCTAATTTATTATTAAAATTTTCATAGGCAATATTTACATCGTTATATACGTCCACCCATTCCTCTACAGCTAAATTCTGCTTTAATAATTCAATATTATGAGGGGTTTCTTTTCGATACATAATATTATTAAGTGGTTTCAATTGGGAAATTTCATGTTCACATATTACAAAAATAGGTAAATGGTTACAAACTTCTGAGCATAATAATCCTCCAGTTAATTTATTAGTAAATGCATTGGATAAAATATTATCAATAAGCGTTGAGGAGTGTACATTTATTCTAGTGGGCTTACTAATGTATGAACAAAATCCATATGAACGCATCAGATGAATAAACGTGTCAGACTTTCAACTATTATGGGGTAAAGAAAGAAAATTTACATTAAAATCACCCAGAAAATAAACATCTGTTAGGGGGTCTATAAATCAAACCAATGACACAATTTTTCAATTTATCATTATCAATTTCAATAAATAATACTTTTGTCTGTTCAAATTTAAAATCATAACGGACTCTAATTTTCAAATTATCAGCAATATAAAATGCTACCCCGCCGCCTCTCCTTCCTTCACGATCAGCCCTTATTAATGCATAATTAGGTAAATTAAATAACTGGGGAGAGTCATGATGGGGGAGAGTCATGATGTAACCAAGTTTCACTTACTCCAATTACAGAAAAATTTAAATTATTTAAAGACTGAAGGAGATTTTCAAAATATTCAGAATTTCTATTTAAACTTCTGGAGTTAATGTGTAATAAGGAGATATTATTCAAATTATCTTTAATTAATTTAATTCCAACGGTGTATAATATTTACTTTCATTTACAGAATCATGAAATGTATTATCTAATGATGTTGGGAAAGGTAAGTTAGAAGCTATCGTCTACATTAAACCATAGACCTATTACGGATGGACATTCGACGTGATCCTTTCTTTTATCCAATGAAAGTCACCGCCACAGAGTTGCGTAGTGTTGCGTACCGACTACGCCGAAGTTAAGCTGCGTACTCATGAATAAATTGATGCTTCGGCGTAGTCCCTGCGTAGGTTATGCGTAGGCTTGCGTACCTACGGCGTATAGTTCCGTACCCTGTGCGTAGGCACCGCTTACCTACGGCGTAGGCAATTGGCGTAGGGTTACGTACGCTTGCGTAGGCCTGGCGTAGGGTTGCTTACGGTTGCGTACGGTTCCTCACTGTGTGCGAAAATGCCATGTAAAAATGCAATAGACGCTCGTAGGAGCCGCGAGTATAGCCATTGGCGCTTTATAAACATATATAATACAAAAAAATATATGTTTAAAAGACATTTCAATTTATTGTATAAATGAACTGTGCAGTGTACAAAGAATTGTACATGTTATTACATGTGAACATAACTCGATCTTAGTATAATAATAACATTCTGACAAACTGTGACATCCAAGGGGCAGTGGGTCTCTTTTGCATGCGTGAAATAGGGCTGAAACGCTAATTTGCGTAAAATAGTGAGTGCAGAAAATAACATTTATAAACCTGCCATAAGTTTTAATAGTAAAAAGTGGCATTTGGTACTCGTTATTGACCGTTAAATTTTCAGTTTTTTTGGTAGGTATTAGCAACTGCTGAGGTTATTTTGCAGTAATGTTAATTTGTTCAAGATTTTATTTTCCAAAAAATGCAGACATTTTTGTTGATGTACTACATTATTGTACCATGTATCATTCAAAAGGGTAATATATGAACTTTCTTTTGATGAACATTGCAAGGTCACGTGATGTGATTTGATACCTCAAAACGCCAACAAAAGAGAGCGCTTATTTTGATTTGTGAATAAATGTGGACAGAAGTCTGATATTTGTTGACCATATCCCTTTTTTTCACTCATTTGTAAAATATCATTCCATAACAGTTTCCTGAAAGTTTGAAGACGATATCTGTTGTCCTTGGTCCGTAGCGTATTTGTGTGTGACAATGTAATGATATAAATGTTAGTCATTTATTAGATTTAAAGAAATACTTCTGACATACACACTCACTCAGTCTCACTAACAGAGTGAGACAAAATTATTTCTTTGCTCATTTCAATTAAACAAAATTATATTACAAACATACAAACAGGACCACAAACGTACACACAAGCAAACAAACCGACACAAATACATACAGATTTTCACAAAACATAATAAATTTTTCGCATGAGGCATCAGTTTATGAATCTTATCTCTGTTTATCATATCAACAGCCTGAGATGTTAATTATCACAAATTGAATAAACCATAACAAAACAAAACATGTCAGTCTGAAATACCTTGTAGTAGTACAAACAGAATTACAAGCAAGAATGATCAATGATCAACACCTGCCAAGTTTACATCCAGGTATATACCAAACAAAATCTTTATACCATACGTTTTTAATGCTTCGTCGGACTGGCGTAGGGTAGCGTATTGTTGCGTAGGCTTGGCGTACATTTGCGTAGACTTGGCGTACAGTTGCGTAGGCTTAGCGTACAGTTGCGTAGTAAAGTCTACGCCGAAGGTACGCGAAAAAAATTAAACATGTTTAATTTTTTGCGTTCATCTCGCTTACCCATTCGCGTCCCTCCGCGTACAGTTGCGTAGGGTTGCATACGATCGGCGTAGGGTTGCGTACGATCGGCGTAGTCGCTACGCAACTCTACGCAACTCTACGCAACTCTACGCAAGGCCCGGTGTGAAAGTCTTCAATAAAAACATCCCCAATGGGGAGCAGTAAAGTTGAAAAGCAGACGATTTTGGTGATTTGAAATTTATTATTTCTGATTTGCACACTTTTACACGAACCAATGACCTTATAAAACAATTAGAAGGTCATGATCTTTATAAGCCCTGTGAGTTGTAATTCCGGAATATTATGAGGAAATTGGGGAAAATGGGATTTTAAATCACAAACAATCCAAAAAAAATCTGGTAATATCAACATGTTTTTTAAAAATAGAACACGGTACACATCTCTTTCTAAACAGTGCTATTTAATCATGTCAATGTAGCGTAATAATTTGTGTTGTTTTAGTTTACTTTATTTTAGTTAAGAAAGTTATATTTTTGTGATAGTAATACATGTATGTACAGCACCATGAGCGTCAGAGCCTGGCGGATACCGGCGCTATATAAATATCCATATTATTATTATTATTACACGGAACAACAATTTCCAATTATTAACCAGAACTGCACATCGGTTTCCCATGAATTAAGCGATTTATTATCTTCTGCGCATGTAGATTAACATGTTTAAAATCACTATCTTGATTCTGTCCCGGCTTATTGGCGGTGACCATCATGAGATCAAATTGAAGAAACATGTACGGAATATTATTGAGACGACATTGACGGAGACAATCGTACTGAATTCGTTAAGAAAATGAATGTCCATTCGTAATAGGTCTATGATTAAACAAAGGGGTAAAGGTTATATTCATGTTGGTGAGTGCATGTGCACATGCGTGCGTGTGAATTACATTGTTCAGGTGCTGGTGCATATACAAAATACAAATCTTCAAAGCATTAACCAAAACTTCTAGCAAATATAGGGAAATGATCTGATATATCGGCCACAATTATACCAGCAGTGGGAATAGGGTGCAAATTGGTGAAAATATTGTCAATGAAGGTTTGTGAGTTTTCTGCTACTCTAGTTGGCTTATTAATCAGAGGAATCAAAGAGAATGTACTTAAAATATCAACAAAATGATTAACAGAGTTATCGCGATCATAACAACATAAATTTATATTAAAATCACCCATAATGATTATTATTATTTTTATTTCTGAATAATGGGCTTCAAAGAGTGTTAGACAATTCTTCAATAAATTCATTCACATCATAATTTGGTGGCCTAAAGACTACTCCCATTAACAAGTTTTTTTTTCTCCAGGAATTATAATCTCAACAAAAGAGATTATAATGAATCATTCATAATGTACAATTCTGCTTTTGTATGGCACTCAAATGAAATGGGAATATACATTGCTACACCACCACCGGATCTGCTTTGTCGATCATTAGTGACTAGCTCATACATGTACCTAGAAACATCGTACATGGCAGTTGGATGACTAGAAAACCAAGTTTCAGTGATTCCAATTATTAAGTACTTATCCTGAAAAGTGTCCAAAAACAAGGACAGCCTGTCAAAATTTGCATTCATGCTACGCATATTAAAGTGCAAACAGGACGTTTCATTGACAAGACAGTTTCTAAATGTTCAGAAAATTGTTTTTCAGTAAAATATTTTGAGTCGTACCCTGTAGTTTCAATCTCGTCATTCAACATATATTCAAAATATGTTGCATTCATATTCAACTCTGCAACAATATTCTCATCAGACTGAGTGTGGCTCAATTGAGTAGCATTAACTCGAGGCATCATAACCTTGACTACTGTGGTTATAAACTTATAAAGTAAGTAACTGGATATAGCATAGCACATAAGGGCAAAAAAAGACATACACACAATTGATTGAGATGTTAAAAGCCATCCTTTCCGCACGGCCAAGCCTCACGTATACAACAATGTGATGTGTTAACATGTTTACAAACTTCTTCAAAATGAACAAGGAAAAAAACTCATTTACAGATGTTAAAATCTAACAAACAACACACGTGGGTTGCTTCTGGGGCCCAGAATCAACCAAAGAAAAATTATGATTTTCTCTAGCGTAAATATACATGTAGAAGTCTACAGACTATTTAACATACATTCTTTATGACTCACATCACTCACATGTGAAGAAATCGGATTGGTCGTTTTACTCACTGGTTAAATATCCAACCAAGTAGAAAAAGAGGTTAAAGAAGTACCTGGAAAATGCAAAGGAATGCTATGAATTAGATGCAAAGAAATAAAACAATAAAGTTGAGATCACAGATAACATAGTCAAGCCTTATGAATCATCGCGCTCATGAAATGACTGTCGTGCCATTAAGATGCATGGGCAAGATCAGTGACAGCTTGATAGAAAACAGCGGGGGCGCCCCCTCGAGAACGCCACTTCCCTGCAGAAAATTGAAGGAATGTCCCAGCGCGATATGCATCTGAAACTTCCTTCTTCCACTTATTTTTCTCATCCCTGTCCTGTTTTGTGTAGTCATCGACGATGTAGAAGGGAGCATCCTTTAGCTTCTGGCGCTTGAGAGACATGATGTGCCGTTTGTCCTGATAAGACAGCAACTTGAATAGCATGTGTCTCGGCCTCCCTTCAATTGGTTTCCCATCTCTGTGTGCACGCGGATTTTGGATCCCGAAGTGCTGTACCAGCAAAGTGGCAACTTTCTTATCAGGCTTTTCTCCAGACTTCAAGCAGTACAGAGTGCAGCAGCACGTTTGCTTACTGGGTTGAAGAAACATGATCACATCTCTCCTGTTCTGGCTGAGCTACATTGGCTTCCTGTCAAGAGCAGAATTGAATTCAAGGTCCCGCTGCTCACATTTAAGGCAATTCATGGTCAGACCCCAGGATATGTGTCATCTTTAATCGAGCGGCGTCATCTTCGCCCTGGACTTCGCTCATCTGGCCTTACTCTCCAGATGCCCATTACTCATCTCAAGGGATATGGAGACCGAGCATTTTTCTCTCTTGCTCCTCGCCTGTGGAATTCCCTCCCATCATCTATTCGCAAAATCGACAACCTTGACCACTTCAAAGCTTCACTCAAAACTCACATCTTCCTTCAGACATTTAAATGCTAACTTTATTGGAGGAGCTCGCGCCTTTGAATGTTTTTTGAAACAGATAAATGGCGCCATACAAATGCTGTGAATCATCATCATCATCATTATCCTCCGCCAGGCCGACGAGCCTTAGGTTATTTCTCCTTGAAAATCTTTCAAGCTTGTTTTCTGCCTCCTCGGCTTTGTGGATTTCGACATGGAGATTTCAAGTTTCTTCTCCATAGAATTGAACTTCTGCTCAAGAGGCTGAACACATTGCTCAAGATCAGTTGTGCGGGTGGCTTGAAATTCGAGGGCAGACTCGAAACCATCCAACTTAGATTGGATGTTAGTTATGCCCGATGACCGGGGTAATAATATGATTGCAGGGCCCCCAGGGAAAACAGTATAAATACTGATGAGGCTACCCTGGGTAAACAGGACATATTATTATTATTATTATTATTATGCCCCGACGCACGAACTGCTCAAAATCAGAGCCCGTGGCACGGGCATCTGAGTTGCAAGGCACCGGCTGCGGCAATCCATCGCACAGCTCAGCTTGCGCTGGTACATGCACGGACGAATCCGGGCTAAAGACGACTCGGACCAAAGACAACTCGGCCCGTCTGCAAAAACGGTCAGTTTTTGTCATTCTACCCTAACCCTAACCCTTATTGTAAACCTAACCCTAACCCTAAACCTAACCCTAACCCTACACCTGCAAAATCTGACCGTTTTTGTAGCAGGGCCGAGTTGTCTTTGGTCCGAGTAAGCCCGACTCCGCACGGACACAGATGCAGACTTACCGGCAGCCGAGTCGCGTGGCTTTAATTGGCTATTTCTAGACATGATGAGAATTATGAATACTTTCTCCTGGCAGAAATCTCACATTATAAACAGCTGATCACTGCACCAAAATGTTCTTCTCCATACATAGCTAGTAAGATTAAATTAAGTTGATTGAGGAGAAATCGAATCTAAGTCCATGAAACAAACGAACATTTCTGGAGCCCCAGTAACTCCAGGAAGCGCAATTTTTTTTACACGCTAGCCTGACCATTTCTATGATAAATACTGCGGAAACGACTAATATTAGAGTCTAGCAGCCTACATACGAGGTGCATCATACACAATGTACATCATGCATGACAATCATCAGATGAAGACCTACCTGGCCCTTGTAAATGAGACGGCCATTGCATCCATCGGGCGATGGAATTTAAAAGCTTAATTTAATTTAATTTAATTTAGGAACTTTACTTTAATCTTGATCTAAGAAGAAACGAACGAACGGCTAGCGAGCAACCAAGTCCACTAACTGCGTGCATATAGTATTATGTAGGCTTTCCCAACCAGCGCACTTTTACGAGTATTAATTACGGCAAAACTGGCCAGGCTAGCGTGTAGAAAAAATATTCGCCTCCAGGAAGCTCGCATCAGCGTCGAAGCTTCCTGGAGTTAGAGCCCCAGCAGCGCAACACACGTCAACCCGCGGCCATCTTTCTTTCTTTTTAAATATTCTTACCTACTCCAGTGACCACAACTCTTCTGCGACTCAGAGTACATACAGAGGTAGAAATACTCCTTTCGTGGATTCGCAATAGTGTTCTAACGTTTAATTTCTTAATTATTTTCACACTATATGCCATTATTGAGCATTTTCAAGGATACGTTAGGAGAAATTGGCGAGTTTTCCCAGCAGAATATGATTGGTGTACTAGACAACAGAAATAAAAAACGGAAAAATAAATTGTACACGTACGTACGTACGAACCAAGCCCATAGAACACAGTTCTGTGGGGCTTATATCGAAAGGGTGTGTTGCACGGGTGCGTCGGTTGGAGCACACCTACAGGACTATAATGAATATTCATATCGTGACGTCGCTTCATGTGTACAAATTTCATCTGTAATCGCATTAAAATATATCCTCAGAGAAATTATTGATGTTGACATATTATTTCTGACTCATTTTCATCATTTTGTGTCAGTTTATATAAATCGCCTTCTAGATGTGCTCCATCGGGTAACCTGACACACGCTCCGCCGACGATTGCTCCGCCGACATTTACTCCGCAAAACGCGACAATTGCTCCGCGACATTTGCTCCGCGACATTTGCTCCGCCGACAATTGCTCCGCCGACATTTGCTCCGCCGACATATGCTCCGCCGACATTTGCTCCGCCGACATTTGCTCCGCCGACAATTACTCCGCCGACAATTGCTCCGCCGACATTTGCTCCACTGACAATTGCTCCGCCGACAATTGCTCCGCAAAACGCGACAATTGCTCCGGTGACAAATTCTCCTCGAACGACAGTTGCTCCGCCGACATTTGCTTCGCCGACAATTGCTCCGCCGACAATTGCTCCGCAAAACGCGATAATTGCTCCGGTGACATTTGCTCCGCCGACAATTGCTCCAGCGACACTTGCTCCGGTGACAATGTTGATGATAATAATAATAACTAGATTTGTAATACTTGTTTTGAACAAGTATAGGTGGGCTGGTCTAACTAAAATTTGAGACAAAATAAAGGGCAAATTTAAGATAGCTTATTGTCTCAGCTACAACATACTCGAAGTTCAGCGTAAACGGAGCTAAAACGACGGAGATATTGCTCGCGAAAGACGGGAATGAAGAATCCAGTTTTGAAAAAAGTCATGTCCCATAGAGAATACACGCAAAAAGTGAAAAATTGATATTCCTCCTTTAATCGCAAAAATACGCCATGATGCTTTTGTCAAAATGAAAAATTGTGAAGACTGCATTCGTAGAAGATTGTCCCAGCTAGAACATATCAAAATTGAAGAGAAAATTGATCAATATTTACAGAGATACAATCAATTTTCAAAAAATATGCTGACGTCATAATATGCAAATTGAAATTATGAGTTCGGAGGCCATTATGATGACGTCGTGAGTTAATTGAGGGTCAAATGAGACATGAAATCATATCTCCGATTCATACTCTATGAACATATGAAAAAAATAGGGGTCACCTTACATTTTAAAGAGCTACAATGGATTTTGTATCGACATGATTTTTTCCCTTATATGCTATGTATTACAAGACCTCGCACGCACGGACATGTATCTTAAACGGACCCTCACTCCGTTATTAATGGTCAGAAAAAGGTGAAGAAGGTATCAAAATGCTTGAAAAAATGTGCTAAATATGATGACGAAGAAATTTGGCGATTCTATTTTGCAAATTGTCAGAACGCGCGAAAACGCGCGCGCATGCGCGTGTGCAAGATTTTTAAAAAATGCTTTAAATGGCCTAAAACGTATGCTAAATGATTTTGAGTTTTTTTTGTGCATTTTGAAATTTTGCGCGCGCACCGACGCGCGGACGTACGCGTACGCGCGCATTTTTTTGGACCTTATATTGACCGGACGAATATTGACCTTAATCATGATAAATATGAATAAAAAATGGCTTTGGGTTATGAAGATATGATCATGAGTTGATTTTCAGAAAAAATTACAAAATGGCGCCTAGATGACGTCATCAGTGAAGGTCATAGTTGAAAACGTTAATGTGTTTTGTACATATGCCTATACATATATGTGTGCCAAATTTGAGCCATTTTCAAGTAATCGTGCTTACAAAAAAGTTGTTTGAAATAAGTAAAATAAATAATAATGGCAATTCTAACGAAATTATAAGGTGTTCTGTACGCTATACAGCCCACTTGATAATAAAGGCAATTTTAACAAAATTATAAGGTGGTCTGTATTAGATACAGCCCACCTAATAATACAGTCAATTTTAACAAAATTATAAGGTGGTCTGTATTAGATACAGCCCACCTGATAAATAAATAAAGGCAATTCTAACGAAATTATAAGGTGGTCTGTACGATATACAGCCCACCTGATGAATAAATAAATAATAAAGGCAAATCTAACGAAATTATAAGGTGATCTGTACGATATACAGCCCACCTAACAATAAAGAATAATAAAGGCGATTATAACAAAATTATGAGGTGGTCTGTATAAGATACAGCCCACCTGATAATAAAGGCAAATCTAACGAAATTATAAGGTGGTCTGTACGATATACAGCCCACCTGATAATAAATAAATAAATAAACAAAGGCAATTCTAACGAAATTATAAGGTGGTCTGTACGATATACAGCCCACCTGATAATTACAAAAATAAAATTAGTAACACCACCAACCATAATAATCATTGTTGTCATTATTATTGTGATACTGCTTCTAATACTACTCCTACTACATGTACTAGGTAGAAGGAGGGGGAAGAGGAAGAATCTTATTGTTTATTTTTTGTATTATCGAGGCATAAAAATGCACAGGGAGGTAAAAGAGGGAAAAGTAAGGCGACGAAGTGGGAGAGAGAGGGAGAGAGAACGAGAGGGGGTAGCCTATGGCCCGGGTTCAAATTCAGTTCTCTTTAATTTATTTGACCCAGTACTGATGATCATAATTTTATCTACCATGTGATTGCCATGTGTACGCCACACCGAATAGCACTACCTCACAGTTTGTTATTGTTGTCAAGAACTTATTGGCATCCAGCCAGTAGATTTTCATCATGTGTTTGATCTTGTATTGAAAAAAAGATCGAACACATCATCATAATCTACGGAGTGCAACCAAAAATTTCTTAACAACAATTGAAATTTCTTTCAGGAAGCTTAACACTAAAAGCTGTTTTTGATTCAAAGAGCATCGTAGAGACGATGAACAAATAAGAATAATAATACATTCACTTCTATTTTCCCCGCCAAATAATCCGAACAAACGAATCAACCGAGGGTAATCAACTGTTAAACGAATTTATCATGAGTCCTTGAAAAATAAATTAATACTGCTTGTCAAATATTATTGAAGAACAGCAAAGGCGAACGCGAAAGTCGCTACAATTCAGAAATCATTGCTTGCATTGCTTTTCTCTCAAAATTACCGTGAGATATTAAGCTACATAGAACTATGATCGACACATAAGATATTGTCTTGAAAACAGTCAGAAACATTAGAACTTGAATGAATAAAACAATGCAAATGAATAAGACTAGAATGAATAGGACACAAGTTAATTTCTACCATTTAAATCATCCAGTATATACCTGAGCAAAATTCGAACCAGATGCATTAAATGGTAAACTTAAAGACAATGATTCATGACAATTGTCAATTGTTATGAGTTTATCGTCTAGACGTATTGCAAAAGATAATCAGAATAATAATGATCAGAATGATACCCCTTCCTATAAGGCCTATTTTTACATGTACTATACTACACTACTGCCATGGTAGATTATGCTGATAATACAGATGATAATAATGATATGATAACAATTATAATAATACTATATACTTATACTAATCGTCATCAAAATCGTCATGTTCATATTCATCATAATGATAACAATAATAATGATTATAATAATTACAATAATAACTTATCTTAACGATAATAATCATGATAAGGATAATAATCACAATAACAAACATAATAATTACAAAAATAACATTAGTAACACCACCAACCATAATAATCATTGTTGTCATTATTATTGTGATACTGCTTCTAGTACTACTCCTACTACATGTACTAGGAAGAAGGAGGGGGAAGAGGAAGAATCTTATTGTTTATTTTTTGTATTATCGAGGCATACAAATGCACAGGGAGGTAAGAGAGGGAAAAGTAAGGCGACGAAGAAGGAGAGAGAGGGAGAGAGAACGAGAGGGGGTAGCCTATGGCCCGGGTTCAAATTCAGTTCTCTTTAATTTATTTGACCCAGTACTGATGATCATAATTTTATCTACCATGTGATTGCCATGTGTACGCCACACCGAATAGCACTACCTCACAGTTTGTTATTTTGTCAAGAACTTGTTGGCATCCATTCATCATGTGTTTGATCTTGTATTGAAAAAAAGATCGAACACATCATCATAATCTACGGAGTGCAACCAAAAATTTCTTAACAACAATTGAAATTTCTTTCAGGAGGCTTAACACTAAAAGCTGTTTTTGATTCAAAGAGCATCGTAGAGACGATGAACAAATAAGAATAATAATACATTCACTTCAATTTTCCCCGCCAAATAATCCGAACAAACGAATCAACCGAGGGTAAACAACTGTTAAACGAATTTATCATGAGTCCTTGAAAAATAAATTAATACTGCTTGTCAAATATTATTGAAGAACAGCAAAGGCGAACGCGATAGTCGCTACAATTCAGAAATCATTGCTTGCATTGCTTTTCTCTCAAAATTACCGTGAGATATCAAGCTACATAGAACTATGATCGACACATAAGATATTGTCTTGAAAACAGTCAGAAACATTAGAACTTGAATGAATAAAACATAATGCAAATGAATAAGACTAGAATGAATAAGACCAAGTTAATTTCTACCATTTAAATCATCCAGTACCAAATACCTGAGCAAAATTCGAACCAGATGCATTAAATTGTAAACTTAAAGACAATGATTCATGACAATTGTCAATTGTTATGAGTTTATCGTCTAGACGTATTGCAAAAGATAATCAGAATAATAATGATCAGAATGATACCCCTTCCTATAAGGCCTAATTTTACATGTACTATACTACACTACTGCCATTGTAGATTATGCTGATAATACAGATGATGATAATGATATGATAACACTTATAATAATACTATATACTTATACTAATCGTCATCAAAATCATCATGTTCATATTCATCATAATGATAACAATAATAATGATTATAATAATTACAATAATAACTTATCTTAACGATAATAATCATGATGAGGATAATAATCACAATAACAAACATAATAATTACAAAAATAACATTA